GCAGCTCCAACACTGTAAATAGCCATTTCTGCTTCTTTCCTGACTTGATTCTAATTTTGATGTCAGTTGCTTAGAAATCTCACCAAGTACAGTTCAGTGCAGAGACAGGAAAATCATGTGACTGATGCCCATTTGAAACTGCCCAGGGAGGTTGCTTAACTTTTTGGTGCCTGGCAGCATGTCTGCACTCACAGTGGATGTTCCCTTGGGAGTCTGAACATCTGTGGCTATTTTGGAATGGAGGATTAAGTCTGTTGGCTTCTCTTAAGTGACTTTATTTTAAAGATAACGTGAATTTTAAATCACCAGGTTGGAAGATGATGTTAGTCATCATTCATTGGAACTGATGGGGAGTCTGGGTGTCTCTGGGTCAGGTAGGAAAGAGAAGGGCCCAGAATCCTGTAGTATATCCATGTGGATTTCTGGCTGAAATGACTTTTGTCAAGTTTCTGACATTTTTTAATCCTAAATTTCAGTACTTCCAGACTGTGCCTGTGAACTCGCCATGTCTGTAATGGTGAAGGTGCCAATAAATCTACCAGTCATCAATCACGGTAAATTCACTTTTAAAATAAGAAAAAGGCGCTGCTTATACTGGAGAAGGAACATTTCCTAACAGCAGCCTGTGGTTTAGGACCAAAATCCCACTGTATTGTGTCTCACAGGAATTCCTCAGTGTTTTGCTTTGTGATCTGTCTGCATTTATAGAACTGTTACGGAATTCTTGTAAGTCTCTCAAGTGAGCAGCTCTTTGGGATCTTGCAGACTCAGTTTATTTTTTAGTGGTGCACTTGATTGTTTTTTTTTTTTTTAACTCACAGCTGCCTTGAGTGAATCATTCTGGAAATTTATTACTAAGAAATTTTAAGAAAATATTCTTTTTCTAAAAAATTTTTTTTCCGTAGAAGTGTGTTTTGAACCAATTTCCTAGTCAACACCTTTGCCGAGATAGGTGCCATTTTTACATTCTGGTATTAAAACTGGTTTCTACTTGTGAAACTCCAAAACCAATTTTACAGCTGTATATAACTTTTCTTACCAGTTCAGGTAGCCTGTAACAGTGGTAATGGCTCTCATACAGGTATTACTGCAAATAACTTCACTGTCATTGTTGGATGGCTGTTGCCTCTTGGATTCAGCTGCTTTTAAATACTAAGGAATGCCAACTACTTGCTGAGGTGTCCAACGGCATCACAGAGCTCTGCCTGCCTCTGTTCCTCGCCCCAGGTCTGAGGGGCTCCGGTGTCAGCACACAAGGGACCTGGGAGAAGCCTGAGCACAGCGGGGGAATTGGCATCTGGTGCATCCTTGGAGCCTGTAGGAAGCCTGTGATAGATCCTGCCCAGGTGACGTTTGCTGTTCCAGTACTGCCCTGGGTTGTTTTTCATGCCTGCAGATTGCAGTACCACAGGTACTGTGTGATGCCACAGAATGACTCAGGCTGCAGCATTCCCTTCTTCAAACAGCTGGCAGGAACCTCTGGAGGTTGATGCCCAAGCTAAAGTGGAGGTGGCTTTTACGGTAAAAGCTCAAACTCCTCCTACAAGAAGGTAATAAAATAACCCTTGATAGGTTTTACCCCAGCTTTGAATTTCAAAGAAACTGGTCTGTGCCTGCAGTTAACATGGGCCCAGGTGTGCAGCTTGTGTGACTTCTGATACCATGACAGCAAACTTACTTGCAGCAGGTCTTGCAGCATGAGTGGGCACATCTTCACTGGCTTTAAAAGTTTGTAGCCAGACTACATCCTTAGCTGAATTTCAAGTAAGTTGTGTCACTGCAGAACTGGAGTAACCAAGAGCATTGTGCCAAACAGTGGCAGAGTAACTCTTGCCCAGCCTCTCTTCTAAAGGCAATCTGTTATGGCTGGGAAGCAGAGCCATGTGCTTGGTGTAACAAGATTTATTTTATTCTGGTAGAGTTTGTCAGCATTTTCTAATGTGATATAACTTTGCAATAGAGAGTTCTCCCTTCAGGCAAGTGCCCAACCTGGCCTTGCTCCCATGTAGCCTTGGATGGCTGTTTATTGGTGGAGAAAGCGGTTTGAGATTCTGGAAACCACAGAAAGCTGCTGTGGCTTCGTGCTGATGTTTGCTCATGTACTGCAGTAACGTGGCCTGGTTCCATCTGTCTGCAGCCCTTTTCCTTCCAAACACTGCTGTCCTCTGCTGTGCTGAACTGCAGATCCACGGCAGTGCTGGCAGAGCTGATGGCTTCGTGTACAGGATCCGTACCACTCCGAAGGGAACGTGAATTAGTCTTTTCCTGCCACAGGACAGGGCCTGACCTTGCCTTGGCAAAGCTGAGCTGGAGCAGCAGCAGGTCCCAGTGAGTCCTTACTGTAATGCATGGGGTGGAAGTAGTTGACTCTTTCCTTGGGTTGTGTAACCGCTCGTCCCACGATGAAGTTCACATTAATTACTTTAAGGTGGAATGAAAACATTCCAAGAGTTGTAGTTTGTCCTCTCTGGGGACACTGTCACCTCCACTAGGTTTAGTGCTGTGCTTTAAGATGTTGGTGAGAGTTTTGGCTAATCAGACTAGTTGGTATCAATGGTTGTGTAGCAGAATGGCTGGTTTTGAGATAGCATTTCCTGTCCAAGTACTTAGCATGGGTTGATGGTGCACTGTGTATCCAGTACTCTGGCATGCATGCTGGTCACACTCCTCCTACACTTCAGAGGCACCAGAGCCTTTTATCCAATTGCTGGTTATGTAAAATACATGCAGAATGTTAATGCAGTGTTGTTATGGTAAATGTGTGAACAGTGTTACTAATTGATATAACTGATAACAGATTACATGTGCCTGACATTCTTATACCACACAGTATGTTTAGGTTTTAACTAATATGGACTTCGGTGGAATAGTCTTAGGTATTTCAAGCCTTTGTTTTACTTACACAATGGTGCTCTCTTTGTGTTCTTTTTTTGTTCTTTTTTTTAAATAAAAGCATCTGAACACTTGTAGTACATATTACATCCAAAGGAGTCCAAAGTGCTTCTAAACATGCTTAATTTTACTTTGCCTTTAGTTCCCAGCATCTCTCATCAGCTTTTTTGTTTTGTTTTTACTTGTTGCTGACTACTTTGGAAAACTTCGGTAATGTTACCAATTATGAAGTGATTCTGCACTGCCTTTGGATTGTGTATGTATTCAGAAACAGTCTTAAAGCTTTTATTTAAGCTATTAAAAAACCAGGGACTTGTGCCATTTGTTCTTTACCAGTGCTGTTGTAAAAAAAAGACTTCCCTGTGACAAAAAAAATCACTTGCTATGAACTTTGTTTATAGCTCTTTTTTTTTTTCCACGATGGATCTTTTTCTTTGTATTTGTACAGTGGCTCAGTGAAAGATGTTGCCATGAGTTGATATTGTAACCAATAAACAAGTGCTTTTAACCAGCCTGGTTCAGCTGTCAGTGTTGTATTAATGAGCAGCCCCTGGCCTGAAAGTGCCCCTGGGATGGGGATGGAGCAGCCACACAGCAGCAGCTGGGACCTGTCCTGGATCTGCATTATCTGTGGGAGTGATATGCAGGTCTCCACCTGGGACAGAGCTGCCAAAGAACTTAGTAGAACACAGGGGTAAGACTTCTTTTAATAAATAACTGTAAAACACATGCATTGAAAGTTTTATCTTGATACAATGTCAATACAAATGCTCCACAAACAGAGCATTGATACACAGCTGTGCCCTCACCGACACCAAGGCTGGGCTGTTACTCAAGGCTGAATGCCACAGTTCCCCTCAAACCCCCAGGACTCCCCATGCACAGTCAGAACAAACCCCTGAACACACTTGTGGAACTGCTGTCTTCCATTAATTCCTTTAGCATTACATCTTACATCTGCTTCCTGATGAGACAGCCCTTAGTTACTGGAAAATAGCAAACTCCTATGCCTTAGAGCTGAATCTTTAACTTAAGTCAATGTTAACACTGCCATAAAAATATATAAATACTCTGAAAACGCTTTTCTTTTAAAATAATTTTAAAAAGTCTAGTTAGAAAAAAGTAGATGTTGAATGACTGCAGACAGCAGCAGCAGCAGGAGGTTTTTTAAGAGGCTTTGTTGGAGGTGAGTAAAGGTAAAGGACTCCAGCACAGCTGCCTGGAGTCTGACCTAGAGGAGACCTGTTCTACAGCAGAGGGGCTGGGCAGGGAGCGATGTGGCTGCACCATGTCCTGCTCCCTGAGTGCAGCAGCAGGAGCCCCAGGTCCCTCCTGGCACCCTGAGCTTCCCTACCCAACCTGCACCAATCATGCCCAGACCATCTCGGCAAACCCTGCTGTGCCTGGCTGTGAGCTGGGGGTGGTGACACACCTGAGTTCACCTGATCATGGTTCTAGCCATGTGCTCACTGGCAAAGGACCACTTCACTTCTCTACCAACTGCAAGAAACAGGTTCACTTTCATGTAATCAGTGCTCTCTTGGCTCAAGGAGGTGGCCAGAGGAGCCTTGAGCCCACTGCATTTCCTTAGTGCAGTTCACCCTCATCTTTTGTTGCCCTTTCAGAAGGAAATGCTGCCCAACACACTGGCATCTGCTTTCCAAACATGTCAGGAGTCTTTTCCCATGCAAAGTTTGTACTTCACTAAACAAAATCACATGCACATGGAAAACCAGCACCCTCCAGGCCTGGACAGTTCCTAAGCAGCTGAAAGCAGGAGACTGGGCTAAGCTCTTCCCCTAAAGTCCTGGATGCCAGGAAGCAAGACTTGCTACTGCTACATGCTCATGAAAACAAGTGAGGATTTGGGGTTTTATTGTCAAGTACCCAAAAGAATTTAGTGTTTAAAGGTAATTTTTAACCCAAAATCTGCAAAACTAACATAACACTCAAGAGTACCACAGCTCTTCAGTTTGGTTCACCATCAGAGTCCCAAGTTTTACAACTGTCACCAGAGCAACATTAAAAATATAAATCATTTCAAGTGCCTCCACAGAATAGAAGTGTCACCTGTAGAATTTCTACTTTGCCCTACAAAGAAGCAGCAGGAAGGTTCACAATGATGTTTTATTTATTCTTTTGAAGAAAATGTTTTGTGAAGTGATCTAGTTCATTCTCAAGGTGAATGGCTTTATTTCTGTAAAACAAACAAAAGCAAGGGATTTACTTCAGTGCCCAAACATGCCAAAGGCAAGACTGACATCAGTGTTTCATTTCTATTCCTCTACTGACACACCCAGCACTAAGAAAACATCAATGCAGGATTTTAGAAGGGGGCGTGGGGGCAGATGTTCACCTGACAGTGGTGGTGGATGCCTGAGGCCAGGAGGCAGCAGCCCAGTGCCAGGGCAGCCTTTCAGCAGGTGGAAAGAACAGGAAACTACAGCTGAGGCTGCTTCCAAGTGCCTGAACCATCAACTGCTGGAAGTTCCTCCTCTGCAAACACCTACCACTGGCACCACCAGTACTGCACTGGATGACTCAGCACAGCTGCTCTCCTGCTCTGTTCTGGGGAGGGGTATTTGGGAAGGTGCCACCTGCAAGTTACCTACAGGAGACTAAAATTCTGGTCAAAGGCCTGTCTCCCACACTAAAGAGAGACAAGGGTAAAGATGACCTAAGAAATAATATTTTTGGAGGTTAGCTGATTGACTGAGGCAACAGCATACATTTATTTAACTTACCCAGAGCTGTTCAGGGTATCTTTGCATCCCCTTCTGCACCTGAACTAACCTAGTTCAACACCAGAGTAACAGCAAGCACTGATCACTCTGAAGTCAGCAAGGCTAAGAGATGTTTGTGGCCAGTCACACCAAGCCTTACCTCAGCTGCTTGGAGCTGCTCTGTATGTTCTCCAGCTGATCTATTTCTTTGGAAAGCCTAGCTATTTCTTTTTCCAGGTTCTTCTCAGTAACATCCACCTGCTGACAAAGCCGAGCAAAAGTAGTGGCCATTTCCCTAAAGTGAAAACAAGTAATCGTGATTCACAGAAGTTTATGCTAAAAAAATAGTAAGAAATAAAATCTCATGGCATTGCAGCATGCAGAACACAGCAATCAAAGCCTCCAGCTGTTATGGGATTACAGAATAGCATAAAGCAGGAGAATTGAGTACTTCTTAAATTAGGATAGAAACCCTCAACACACCAAATGCATCTCAGTCTATGCCTACATTGTGCCTGGCCATTTTCATAGACCATTAACAGGTCCGAGTCTGAGATGGGGCTCTGGCTGTGGCAAGAGGTGCCAGAGCAGCCCCACAGCACCAAGCTGAGTGTAGCCCTGTGCCACACTCGGTGCCCTGCTCACAGGAACATTGCTCCAGCCCTGCCCACTGAGGCACCCCATCCTACATCCCTCCTTAGCCACGTGCTCCCAACCCGCTCCAGGACTCCAAAACAAACCCAGTTACCAGCCTGGGCCTAGTACCCAGGATCTCATGCAGGAGACAAAGCACCCTCTCCTCTCTACTGGAACACTGGTTTGAATGCAGCTTTTCCATGTCCTCACAGAGCTGCTGGAACACAGAGATGGATCTCTTTCCTCTACTGAAGCTTAACTTTTTACTATTCCATTTTTTTGTTTTCTCTTTCCAAAACACTTTCCCACCTGTCTCTGCTAAGTAATGTCTGGCTGATTGTCTTCCTTAGCTTCTTCTTGAAACTATGTGTTTTGACTGAATTCTTATTTCAGAAAATTAGGGCTGCAAATGCGCCCTCTAGCCCTCAGAGTGCAGAACACCTCTCCTGTGTAGCTCAGGGAATAGTTCAGAAATGTTATCAAAGTTCATCTCCTGCAGTGCAGAAGTGCCAGGATTGGCTGCTCAGAACTTGCCCGTAGCAGCCCCTGGGGCACAAGCTCTGCTCATCTTTCCAGAGACTCCAAGGGCAGAGCAACTCAGGCTCCAGCAGAATGATCTCTCATGTCTCTATTGCAAGGTGCTGGACGAAGAGTCACCACCTTTAGAGCACCACACAGAACCACACATGGATGCAGGTATTGGCCTTTTCAGAAAGGCATTTTAAACTCTTCAAACCCCCTCCCACTAAGTGCCAAAGGACACTGAGGTGCCATCATGCAGGGCCAGTGCCTGTCCCATTGTGACACTTACTGCTGCACCTGGTGGCTGCAGTTGGCGCTGGTGAGGCTGACGATCATCTGCAGCTTCTCGGTGGCGTAGTTCACAAACTGCTGCTTAAAGGCTCTCTCCTTGGCCCGAGTGGTCCAGGTCAGCCTCTCGTACAGGTACAGCAGCCCATACATGCTCAGGGAGAATGAGATCAGCTTCCAGCCTATGGTCTTCCAAATCTGAAAAACAAAATCTTTATTAGCTTAAATAAGTTGCCCTACAGAATGAAAGCAAATTCCACCCATTTGTTAAAAATCATCTCCACAGCTCTTGATTTGTTTAAGAAAATAAATGTTTTCCATATTATTACTGCAGAGCAGTATAGCTACATTCACATGAGCTGGTCCCCAATGGCACAGAGAATGTGCAGGTTACAGAAGCCTTGCTGCTCTTTCATGAAGGAAGCAAAGCTCCAACAAAATTCAAACTGAAGGAGGTATTATCAGATCACCATTTAATTCAGGCTTTGAACAAAGACTTATGGCAGAGAGAATATGCCCAGCTATCCTCAGAGTGATTAGCCTGGTTTCTCACTATGAACTGACTGTGGGTATCTAGTGCTCATCTGGCCCAGCATCAAGTCCACGGCACACTCTGTGCTACACCCCAAGCAGGACAGAGCAGCTCAGCCTCTGCCACCCCTTCCAGCAGGAATGTTGCCAGTGCTACTTGCCACTCCGCCAACAACGATGATGCTCATGGAGGTCCGGGATGTCAGCGAGGCTAAACTCAACACCAAAGGAATCATAAATTCATCCTGGGGCACGTTCTCAGGAGTTATGGCAGGAAGGCTGGTGGCAGACGGGGTGCTGGCTAAAGGACGAGGGATCTAGAAGATGGGAACAGGGCAGCCTGAGTCAAAAGCATTAAGGAACTACACAGATGGGTTTTATTTTCATATATTCAGGCTTTGATTTACATGAAGGAAACCCTTCAGCAGAGAAATCTTGAAAAGGACCCTGAGGAGCAGTGCAGGCTTTGACAATTCCTCCAACAGAGAATAAGGGTCTGTGCAGGGCTGGTTCTGGCCCAAGGATCCAAATATTACAAATGAAATAGGCTACTCAAAGGGTTCAATCCAAAGGAAAAACAACTTATTTAAAAATAGGTTTTTACTTCCATTCTAACCCTGAATATAATCCAATAAAAGCAACCCTCACCAAAAATATTTCACAGAATGGATCTAGGGAAAGGTAGCAGGAAGCGTGTGAATAGCACTGGCACAGAGTAAAAATCAATATATTCTCATCGAGGTAAAACAAGGCAGCCCAAGCTCTGAAGAACTCACATGTAGGTTTGGATCTGCTAATCCCAGGAGTACTTTCTGAGCTTGTTTAGGACCCAAGAAACGGTTTACAAGAGAAGTCCATCCCAAAGAAAAGTGGAACATGATATCCTCTTGAAAATCTGCACACAGGCTATGACAGTTTAGATCATAGCTAAGGTCAAACTTCCTGCATGGAATTAGCAAGTGGAGCTGATCCTGAACACTAGAAGGCAACAATGGTTTCAGATTTTCTAGAAATAAAAACAGTAAAGATGAGTTACCATTAGAAGAAGAGCATATTCACAAGCAGTATCTCTGCACTGCTGACCAGCTTTGTCAATTCGGAGAATCTAAACTGACCAGTTCATTATTTATTTGTAAAATCAGTGGCATTTCAGCAGGATTGACCCTAAAAGAGCAGGGAATTTATTGCTCTGATACAAGAAAACAGTCATGAAAATCAACTCACCAGGGAAGCACTGCTGGGAAAAAAAGACTCAACTGAAAGACCTCTATCAGTGGTCAAAAGATAGGAATGGAGTAAGAAAAAAAAAATTGATTTATCCATCAGTTCTGTGGTGCCACACAGAAAAGGCAACATTATTACATATTAGGACAGAAGGGTTCACATAATTTCATGATCTTGCTCTAAATCTTTTATTACCAGGAACAGACCAATAGGGATGGATGTGCAATAGTTACTACTTATAAAGAAAAAAAAAGGGGAGTACACAAATCCTTTGTGAAATGAACTGGTTTGCATTCTGGGTCTGGAGTGACCCAGGGAGAGCATTATACTGCAGAAACATTTTCTAATAATTAGTGCATTTGGTGCATCTCTTGTGGAAGCCAAATTTTAAATGGGTTTATAAAAGGATTAGATGAGTTTCCAAAGGACAGGTCCATTATTACTTGCTTAAGCCATTAAACCAGATGCACTGTATCAGCTCAGAAGTCCCTAAAATGGAGAGGGATTGCTATATTTACACTGGTTCACCATTCTTCTCCCCCAGCATTTGTTACTGGTTAGTATCAGAAACAGAGGACTGAGCTAAACACTCAGTCCTGTCTATCATGGCTTTTCCTTTATCCTTTACAGCACCAATGTTAAGCATGATCAGAAGGAAAACTCTTTAAAAACTGAATTTTCTTAGATTGTGTTCTTTTAAATGTCAAGTGTTAACATTCCTCCTCCCTCCTCCTACCAATCATCTCCTGCTGGGACTGGTGCATTGACTCGTTGACTTCAGTGGAGCAGCGATCAGCCAGGTTCTTTCCCAAACCATCTTCTATATGTTTGTTCAGTTCCTGAAGTGTTATAAAGAACACAAGCTCATCAATTTGTATTTAGCCAATCAGTTACATTATATGGAGCAGGAATATGTTTCACTAAGCACTGTTATTTACAGTGGGAAGAAAAGCATGTTTCCATGGAAATACCATGCTTTCCAACTGCACTCTAGGACTGAAGACCTAACTAAAGTGACACACCAAAGATTTCCCTGCAAACACTGAAAAGTATAAGAGTCTGTACTTTCAATAACTGTGACAGTGAAAAGCAAACCACTACCCACTGCCCTGCAAAGCCCTTACTGTGTCATTTGATGGGAGCCAATTCCACTGCTCTGCACAGGGACAAACCCAGCCCACCAACTCCCACGGGGGCCTGCTCAGGATTCTCTGTTAGAGGTGAAACGGCAGGGATTGTCCTGAAATTGCAGCACTTCCAGGTGATCAGCCAGACTGGAACAGCCTAAGATGAGCTCAGCCGGTTGGAGCACCGTGCTATTAACACCAAACTTGTGGGTTTGATCCCTGCCATTTGTTTGAGTTTGACTCGGTGATCCCTGTGGGTCCCTTCCAACTCAGAACATTCTGTGACTTCAGGGGAAAGCTATGGCAGTCATCATTATCAGCAAAGTCTGAGCACAAGAGGCATACACAGGTATACATGTGCTTTCATTTAAAACATTAAGTTTGAGGAGGAATTTATAAAAGTTAAAAAACTCAAACCAGCTTTTATTAAAAGTGTTGAGTGTTTGCAAGCTCATTTTATTTTTGGATCTATTTGATTTTAGGAGTAGTGAAAATTATTTATGCAAAGTCTTATTTACTGGAAGTGAAGACATGAAATTAGGAACCACTCTACTACTAAAAAGATGTTGAAGAAAAGATTAATTTCTTTACAAAAACAAAACAGAAAATATTTTCAACCTTTTTCAGTTTTGGGTAGAGATATGCACATGTCAGCAATCAAAAATCCTGCAATGCTCAAAGTCACATAAAATCTATGCAATTTATGAAAATACGGAAGTAGAAATTAAAGGAAAGGCAAAGAGCCTGGCTTCAAACTGTTAAAAAAAAACAACTTACTGTCTTATAGAGCTTCAATACTTGAGGAGAAGGGTGAAAATCAGAATAAAATTCATCAACTAAAACTGAAAGCCGGCAAATCTCATCAGTCATGGCAGAGGAGACCTGGAAGAACACAGGAACACAGGAAATACATTACATGTTTCTGCTACCTTTTCCAGACAGAGTGGGAACAGACTGCTGCACGAACTGTCCCAAGAAATCATTCAATCACCTGACAGTCAGGAAACATTGTCATTTTAAGCTTTTGCTTTTTCCTTTTTTTTTAATTGAATAAGGAACATTCTGATATTTCAAACATATTTCCTGAGATGGGTGGGCTCCAAAAGGAGCTGCCTGAGAGAGAAGGCAACACTTGGATCTGAGAAGTTGTTCCCACTGCCTTTACTTACTTTGTTTTCGACTTCCTCAGTAACGCGTTTGATTTTTTCCTTGGTGTCTTCTGTCAAAATGTTCAGCTGATTTCGAACAAAGTCCAGCCTGTCCTTCTGATCCTCTCGCTCTTCCATGGACTGGACTCTAACGCAGCAGAAAAGAAATCACCATCACTACCATGTATTCCCCCAGGAAAGAAACAAGCCCTTAACCAGGCATGGCTCATCCAGCTGATGGTTTCTGAGCAGCCAGAGGGAATCCCAAGTGCCACTGGCTGCCCAAAGCAGAGGCACTGCTCCAGAAGGGCTGTACATGGCAGTTCCATGTGCACGAGCATTCAAAGGCTGTGCTGAGCAAACACAACTCAAAACCATCATCTCCAGACAGAATTGTTACCACTGTATTATCAAATAATTTCAACCAAAAAACGGTGTGGGGAATCAGAGGCCTTTAGTAACTTGTTAATTGTGCTTTTAAAAAAGGGTAAATCTGATCAAACTGCTGCTCACAAATAGCATTCAACCACTCCTTAACAGTGACGTGGGTCTGATGACCCTGCAAAGCTAAGGGGACGTGGCAGAAACCAACCTTGTCACAAATAAGTAAGTAAGTGTCTTTAGCATTCCTTGACCTATCACTTAATCAAAAATTCCTGAAAACCTGGAGCAATTTCATCTTGATGGGCCAGCAGAAACAACAAATAACAATTCAGACTAAGAGGTGTCACCACAGACGTTTTGGTTAAGTCAATTGACAGAAAGAAGTAGAATATCAGCATATTTTCAAACATTTCACATCATGTTTTCATGGGATCTGACAATGTGAGACAAGTCAGTATGTAAACAGGCAGTCTGTAAAAACTGACATATTCAGGGGGATGAGTGTGTTTGACAGCACAGTGAAGTCTGTTGAAACACAAAGACACATTATTGACAGGCAGGAAGGAGATGGATGGGAAGGATTAATCGTGACAGCAAGTTCACTGTGTACAAAAGACACAAGGTGGCAACAAAAGTGAGGAAAAACTGCACACATATGCAAACCTCAAAGGATACATGAAGCTACCAGACAGAGCAGATGAACTGCTATCATTAGCACTAAAGGATTACATGAGTGAATAGAGAATAAGGATATTTAAGGATGCAATCTGGAAAGGGCCAGAGGACAAGCCTCTGTTAGCTTGGGCTCATCTCACTCCTTACAGTATTCTAATCACTTGCAAATTAAAGTAGCTACATACTTCCATTTTTTTTCTTCACTGTAACTGTTAATGAAAGTAGAGCAGGCCCAAACATCACCTCTGAAATGCTGGATACCACTAGAAAAACTTAATATTTTAAATATTTCTGAAAAAAAGGTTTGAAAACACACAGTAAAATTAGTAATGAAGAACATCAAATTAAACCAAGTTCTCTGTACAGAAGTCACAGACCGAGAGTACAACTGAGTGGGCGAGTGAACAATGTTAAGACTGACATATTGACACACCAGGGAAATTGTCTGTTTCTTACCAACCAGAAAAAGTGAACTTTAAAGTCCATAATGGCCCAAGAAAATCACCAGCACAGAAATGGCTCCTCAGATGATCTGGACAAACCAAATCCAACCAGCCCTCCAACCCACCTACCTTTTCTCTGCTGCTGCCACGTTTATGGTGTCCATAATGTTTTTCACAGTATCTATTATCTGTTTAGCTCTGATAGTGTGCTGTTCAAACTTGGTTTTCACGGCTGACTGCGAGATACACTCCTGCGAGGGGCCCAAGCCACAACACATTACTGCAATTCCATTCCAACACAATCAGGAATTTCACTGTCAGAAAGCACATGCTGCCACTTTTATCATGAACTTAAACCAGTGAGAAGTAAAGAAGAAGAAAGCATAAAGAAATTAAGAGACAACGGAAACTGAAATCTCAAACGAGTCTATAGCAGCAAATCTGCCTTCGTGTCCATTCACAGTAATGTGCATAGGTTTTCATTCTTTAAAATAAATGAATAATGTAACAAAAAAACACCAAACAAACAACAAAAAAAACTCAGATGAATACATAAGATAAATCTATCTCCTTAGGAAATTTTCAAAACTATCTATTTGGAATTACAAATGTCAAATATGAATGCTAGCAATATGGCTTGGCTTGAGTTTTCTTTGTTGCACTACGAAGTCTTACTTTCAGGAGGCAATTCTGTCAATAAAATCTGACATTCTCATGTCAATACTGACCATCCAGGAACAAAATATACAATTAGGAATAAAAAACAAGGGTTTTCTCATGGGATAAACAAAAGTTAAGTAGTCCTGAAAATATCAGCTTGTTTGCATATTACTGAAGTGTTAAATGAGTAGGTACAAAATGTTCTAACAATACAATTTCTAATCAATCTTCAATATTGAACAGTAATTCAGAAATACAGGACAGTGACTGAAGAGCTCTTGTGTTTGAGGGGAAGAAAGCAAGCAGTTGATTTCCTTAAACGAGACTGACAGGACTTTTAAACTGTTCTCCATCTGTGGACTCAGCTTTCATGGCATAGGTTTGGATTGTTTTTAGAAGACTTGCCTACGACCTTAGCCTATGCTGTAATTAGAAAATTCAGCTATCTAAAATAATAGATGAAAATAAAATAAACAAAATGGGTAAAATAGTCCCTGTTCCTCGACGAAGCAGATCTAGAAATCAGCAATGAAAGGCCAGAGTTTCTTAAATATCAGCACATTGTAAGAGCTAGACTAGGCACAGAGCAGAGTCTTCCCAACGTTAGTATGTGGTAGATAAAAGGATGACAATCACTCACAACACAATCAGAAAATCCAAGTTACAGCACTAGGAAAAACACAAAGGTTAGTTAAACGATGGGGAAAGATAAGGGGGGACAGCAGCAGTTTTGCTGTTAGTCTGTACATAAGTATTGAAACCAAGATAAATTGTGTTTCAACAGTCTAACCAAAACCAGTTACCTTCCAGCCCACTGCCAGTAGCACAGGACAGTCATTTAGTGCCCAGCATGTTCCGTACTCCATTTCTGGGCAGTGCTGGGGAAAAGCTCTGCAGCAGCTGCCTCATTCCAGCTCTGTCTTCACTCCCCTCTACAGACAGGAGTACCCTTCCACCCTGCCTCCCTCCTGCACTGTTTCCACATCACTTCTGCTGCCAGTACTTTTGAGAAACACCCCAACCTAAGGCATGGAGGGGGTGGTTTTATGTAGGATATCCTCAAGGCACTACTGCACACAGTGCAGGATCCAGGCTTTTCTTTGCTGTTTCAATAAGGCATTCTATGCACCTCACTGTAAATTTCAGGAAATACACTGAGTACTTTCTATTACTCCCCAATATAAAAATTCATAACTGATCCAAGAATTCAATGCTTTAAGACTGCCTCTCTCCTTTTTGCAATACAGCTGACATACACAGTAGCATCACTTTTTAAAGCTACTACATGAATCTCTAGAACCTTAATTTCCCCACTGCTTACAAAGTGTTTCAAGTAATGCCTGCACCAGTTATTTTTTTTAGCAACTTCAACCACCCTGTCCTTTGCAGACAAACATATTTCATCTAGCTCTGGAATGATTGTTGCCCTCACACAAAGTCTACATAAATCGTACAAGCCTTTCAAAAATAGTCCAAATTCTTCTCATATCACAACTAACTAACACTGGTGGGCTGTTTCTAGATATTTTTATTTTTTTAAGATTCTATCTATACTAAGCTCATATCAGTCCTGAACAGGCTTTCCCATAAGTGAACTGAAACTAAAATCAGGAATGTGGAAGTACTGGAGAAGTAACAGCTCCTCTTCTCAGCCCATATGGAGAAGAGGGAAAAGCTGTCCAAATTTAGTGAAGACAAAAGCAGGGTGAGAGAATCCAGGAGGAGCAAACCCAGCAGATACAGCCAGGGGGAACAAGGCACATGTGGACAAGTCTGTGAGGTGACAGATTACCGAGAGATATAAGCTGGACAGAAAAGTGAGAGATGTTTGGGAAGTCTGAGGAAGGTACCTGCACAGGACAAGGAGCGCAAGGCAAGACAGACTGAGGCAGGGAAGGAATCAGTGTTTGATGAGGACAGACAGAAGCATCTGTGCTCTCATCCCTTCCTTTTCACACAGTGGAACATAATCCAAATTGCTGGGACTTGCAGCTCCTCTGTCAGGAAACAGAGTCAATGCAAAGTGCTTTAGGCAGAAGTGCTTAGGCTGTACTCAGGGCTGTACAGCATCTGAGTTTGGTCTGGCAGTGCAAAAGGCACACTATCAGTGAGAATTTCACACACAAAGCTCTCCCTGCAGTCTGAGATTCCTCATAAATACAGAGCCTAGAGCTGGCAAGCAGAACTGATGACAACAGTTGTCAGCTACTTTATCAGCTCAGGTGACAGTCATTTGAGCATCAGGTCTGAAGGCTTCAGACCTGGTAAACCACTTCATTCTCAGCCTTGCTTTAAAAGCACATAAACTGCCTCTGTAACTAGGAAACTGCCACAAACCCTGAATGTGAAAGAGGCTGCAACAGCGAGCACTCAAAATTGAAACTGCTTTGGCAATCTCAATTCAGCAGAGTTGTCATCCTCTTTGAATGATGGGATCATACCCCTATTCAAAGCTATTAATAATGATTTTAGGATGAAACACAGCTGAGAAGGGAAAAATACTACAGAATCCACTCTCACTGCTGGAGCCAGGCGTGCAGCAAACGTAATGCATTGTGAAAGAAGAAAAAAGGTTGATTTAAGTTGATGCAGTGCTGTCATAGAATTGTTCCTTGTCCCAGCCTCTGCCACAGAAACTTGTCATGCTTGTGATCCTGTGACAGATACTTCTCATTGTTGCGGCCAGCTTGAGTCTGTGACATCTGATTTACAAATGTGCTGAGCACTCACAGCATCACATCATTTAATAAGTCATCATCCATCTTCATACTCAAGTCTTCTAAGCACTGAGTGCTTAACTATAATTGTAAGAGATTTTGTCAAAAAAGCTTTGGGTACAGCAGATGGCAAAATACAATAATGAACAGTAACTGATTTAGAAGCTCGATTTCCACTTTTTTCCTGCTGGCTCAAAGTTTCCTACTACGGTTGTGGAATTGCAAAAAACATGCATGTCTGACTATAGCTAGTGACACAAGAAATGCCATGTCTCATGGAGCCAGGCCCTGCCAGTACCCGAACCCATTATTTCAACACTGCAGTCACTTATCAGATGAGTGTGGATAAGGATTAAATTTAGTCTGACATTTCCTTGCTTATGCAAGACCAAATCAAGCTATTGTTTTAAAACCTTTCTGATATACCCACATCGTTACATAATTCAGTTTTGCTAAGGTCAAATGGGTTTGTTGTAATGCAAGAACAAACACTTTTCAGAGGCAGTTCAATTTTTGTTTTTTTTAAATACTCGTATACAAAACCATTGAGGAATACCAGAGTCCTCCTTAAGATATCCAAGAATGGCTTTAGTTAATTAGTTATCAAATTTAGCAAGTCAAATGGATCCTATAACAAAGAAACCACTCAACTGTCTAGCCAGTCCTGCTTCTGTAGAAACTGAGAACTCCAACTATGAATATGGCTAAACTGAGGTGGAAGGGTGGATTCTGTACAGCACGGAGGATGCAAGGACAGTGTTAATGATGAGAGTAACAGCGCTAAGAGGTACATAATGGTGATAGATTCAAAACTCTGCCTTTAGAAATGGAAGTGTATTTTTAGATTTACATTGATGAAACTGAATTTCTTACTGCAAACATTTACCAGCACATGGCTGTAAGTGATCATATTTCAAGACTCTTCTTACATAGACTCTATTGGTCTTGAGATCTCAAAACATGAGCTAAGAGTTCTTGTCCCTTCCCTCACTGATATAATTCTACTTTCCAACAACTACCTGCTACTCAAGGTGAGAAGGTATGAACAGAACCCACAGAAAAGCCAAAGCTGCAGATGGTTTAAGTACCTTACACTCCCCTCCACTTGCTAATATGGGTAATGCTCAGTATAATTAAGCTAAGCCTAAGAAAAAGCTACATTTACAATAAAAAACAGGCAGTCTAAAAAGCCCATCATAAATACCTCAAATATCTGCTCAAAATGTTGAAATTCCTGGAATCTTGTTTGAAATCCTTCAGCAAGCGCTTCACCTGTGAAACAACAGACCATAAGGGAGACAGCAGTACCTTACAGCAGGGACTGCATCTTAGATATATTTATCGGGTTTTATAGTGTTTTTCTGTATTTGAGGAAAAGCAGGAGTTCCTACACACCACCCTCAGGCATTCCTTGGGCCTTTTGTCTCCTGGCACTCAGAACTTCTTTTGCTGAAACAAAAAAGATGCGATTCCTGGCTTCTACAGGATCAATAACTTTGAGCTCATCGACCAGGAAAGTCAGACAGCGCTCCATGTGCTGCCTACGCACCTAAGGAAAAGGTAAAAGCTCATGAGAAAAAGGCAAAATCTGAGCTGTCAACACATCACAACATCAGTCAGAAACAGCTGCTGAACCACCCCTCTGACAGCCAATGCCTGCCAACCCTACAGAGGCAGCAGCTGCTTTTACTCCTTTAAACAGACCTGGACTCTGTTCTGTTCCTCCGACAATTGTATTTACTTAAGTCAGAGATCTCAGCCAGTTACTGGGGTAAACCCTTCATTCCCCATACATGGAGAAGTAATTCTCACTGCAAGCTGGCTGCTGTTGGGAAGATCTGAAGATCCAAACTGTTCCCATCTAATGCTGCACTTTCCCAGCTACTCTATGGAGGTATAAATGTATAAACTGTGCTCTCAGGTTTCACTATCACTGCAGAAACAAAAGGTAATACAAAAAAGATTAAAAAACAAGTTTAACTGTGGAGGAAAAAGGTTCTAAAGAAGTCTCCCATTTTATTACTTGCCTGCATATATTGTCATTTGAATTGCAAGTTGCTTTTTGGTCAGAATGAGGAATAGGTTATTTCCATTTTCTGACCATGTAACTTACCCTTTTATTAATAAGACAAAGCTGGTGTACATAATATTATGTAATATTAATACATATTAATTAACTGTCAACCCACGTACAAGCCATAAATTCACTCACATCTTCCATGTACTCTGGTTCTGATGCAGAGGCATCCCATCTATTATTGAGAATGAAGATGTTTGGCTTGGAAAGTCGTTCGTTCACTTTATGGAAAAAATGTTTCTCCTAAGAATTAAAGCACAAACAGAAAATTCCCCAGACTTGCAAACCAGAGTCACGCATTCTTCTGTAACAGATTCTGTAGTTCACCCAGCTTTTTAAAAGTTTATTACAAAGAATTCATCAGTATTAGAACACACAGATATTCAGCACATAACAGCTTAGGGTAGTTCAAAAGTCATCAAATGTCTTAAAACTGATGCCAGTGCTAAAAGTCAGAGACACTAAAACTTCCTCTAAAAATTGGTAAAAAAACAAACTAAGAAAACTTCCAATAAATAGTTCAAAAAACATTTCCTGTTACTTCTCTGTAGTTCACTGTAGTATGTAGAGGACATATGGTTGAGACACAGCAAAGAAAGTCATTGATGAATGACTTAATTTAACAAAATTAAGTGTATTTAGGTCTCTTGTCTGCACCTACCACACATTATTGCTGTTTACAGAGTCATAATGGGTAAGTCGTGATGGAGTGAGTTCCCAATCAGAAAAGCTGAAACAAAAGAAATCTCTGGGCTGCCATAAACTTTTCCAGACTGCAGTAGGACACCACAACATATCCTGGACACAGCACTGGAGATCCATTATTCTCCATCAGCTGGGAATAAGCATGTGCAAACCAGATCACTGCTGCAGAAATCAGAACTTTGTCTGAGAAGAATTTATGAGAGAATAGTAGAAGAATCACATTTTCACAAAAAAAGTCTCTGGTAGTGTGGCAAACTAATGCCAAGTATTCTCAAACCTGTTACGGTAACAGGCAAAAACAATGCTTAAGAAGGATGAGAACACAGCTGTCAAAAGCTTTATCTGCAGGATAACTTATGTTATCTACATAGCAATAAGATGTTCGCTGAAATAATTTTTCTTTTTCCTTTAATTAAAAGGCCCAAACAACTGTGTTATATATATAATGTAAACAATTTACAGATTTTGTAAAAGTCTAGAAATGTCACTCTTGTGATATAATAGAGAAGACATGGCCACAGTGGTGCCAAATCCTCTTTGCCTTGAATGTCTTAAGAATTTTCTTTTTATTCTAAATCGCATCTCTTGCATTTGACTGTGGACTCAGCTCAGAAGATGGAATGTAATGATTTTAAACTTACATTCTTCTCAGACTTCTACCAAACTATTCTAATTTGCTAGAATGCAAAGAAATACTGTCTTTGCACACTCAGTTCTTTATTGTATTGAAAATTGTCTCAACAGTCAGAAAGTTCAGGCCTTTCAGGTCACAGCTATGCTCAGAACAACCAGAACATATTATTTGTCTGCAGTAGGCTTAATAAAAATCATCAAAGATTTTCTCAGCAGCATTACTCTGCATTCTGACAGTCACACTTGCAATAACTTAGAAACCTTCTATTGTCAGCATCCACAATACTTAGTTTAGTCAAAACTGGAGATCACTACAAAATTACACCAAATTTCTGGTCTTGTATTTTGAATATCCCAACAGCTCCTCTGGTCACCTTAAACGTTCTCCTCTTACAAGTCCTACAATATTTAGGATCCAAGGTTCACTCTTCTCTCTCCTGAAACAAGGCTTTATAGAACAAAGACATCAAAATATCTTCAGCTCTCCACACTGCACAGAACCCTTATTACCAACACCTTCTTCAGAAAAAACACAGCCCACTGAGGGGAACCTGCAGCACTCATCCTCAACACAAGGTGTGTCAAGGGAATTCACCCTCTCTTGAGAGAGAAACAAGACAAGAACTCAACTCCCTTCACCTAGTTTGCATATTTTACTGAATTTATGGAGTATTTCTGGATATGAAATACTCCGTAATTTCTTTGATAATACAAGTGTCTTCAGGTAATAAATACCAACAAATTGCAAGGCAAAACAAGCATTCTCTCATCCATTTATCAAAAACACAACTGAACTGGAAAGGACAATTATGACGCTCAAGGCAGAAAAAGCCAACCCGGTAAGAAATTTAAATTTCATTCTACTTTTCATACTGAGAGATATACATTATTTCTTGACTCCCACCCTCAAATCCTATTCACAAGATCTAAGTGCAGTGATTCATCTTCTATAAAGGTCTCAGCTATTCTGTTTATGGAACTGCTGAACATTTAAATGAAGAAGTAGCATAAAATCATTGCACATCATACCGTGTTCATGAGAGTTGATTCAGAATTGGCAACCAGGACAAACACATCAGCATCTAAACAGAACTTGTCAATCCAGCTGTCCAGTTCTGTAGTGACATCTGTGCCAGGGCTGTTGACAACAGAAAACACAAACTCTTATTTACACAGCAAAGAAGTAGATGATTTTTATAAACTGATAAAAACAGAGTGGAAATGCCTAAGGGCCTTGCAAGAAGTCACAGAGGTTTGTATCTTGTATCTACCTCAAACTTGAGGTAAACATTGCACGAGCTAATTACCATCTAGAATTTATCAGTTATTTAATCATTAGACTACCTACTCATTCCAAAATGCAATTTCTGATTAGTAAGTATGCACATATAATTAAATGTCAAGTAAAGCGACAGGCAGTCCATCAGAAACCCAGACAGCCACACACAGTGGTTCCCCTCCTCGGATCCTAATTTTAATCAGAAGAGACCGTAGCTCATAAAGTATTTTTTTTCATTAATAAAGTCCAAGTTTAAACCAATATGCTATGCAAGCTGTGCACAGATTTAGGAAGAAGCCAAAATGAAGTAAAACCATAGTGCTATCCATTTAAAAAAACAAAAACATTAATTGGCATATGGGTATTAAGTCATGTTTGCAACACCTAAATTATTGCTGGTTCAATTTTTCTCAATTTAACAGTAAAAGGATGATTTACTCTTTTCAAGTACCTACTCTCTCAGAATATATGCTCTTTTCTTTTCCCTTTACTTTTTACCTTTAGCAACAGAGGCTGTGCAAATCCAAGATCATGCACCAAAGAAAATAATAACAAACTCCCAGTGATTTCAAAGTACAAGACAGAGACAGAACAAAAACCACTGCAATTTATTAGAATACACTCTGAATGTCTTTTTCTTGAAGAAATCATACTTAAAAATTCACTGACACCTGTGTGAATTACTCTCAAATTCAGTATTTATTGATTTACATGTCAGGTACAGATCAGCTGAAGGTCTGAAAAGCTGCTAAGAGGTTATAACGCAGTGGCCAGGAATAAGGGCACTTGGCATGGACAAAGCTACCACTTCCAGAATTCTTTAAACACATCAACACATAGGAAATGCCAGCCTAACACAGGGCACACACAGTTGGACATAGTCACAACTGCATTTTGAGGTCACTTTGGTATGTAGGCACTGCAACTCTTATCAGAAGCTTTTAAAAATGAAGTCCACATTGTTCATACTTCACATGATCAGCCTGAAGCATTTCAAGAAAGGAAATGGGCAAAAGGTCAACAACCTTATTCACACTTCCATACTGTTTGTTTTGTTTTAAAGGTAGAGTATCCTCAGCCAAAAGCTATTCCTGTTTTCAGCTCAGTCACAAGACACTTGTCTGTTCCAATTGCTACAAGGGCAGAATCAGGAGGATGATGACAAGCAATACATACAAAAGAACAAACTCTATCCTTTCATACAAAAAAGACTTTCAAGAATTTTCAATCTAAACCAATCTGTTTTCTAAACATTGTAATGGCTAATATCCTTAAGAAAATATTTACTAGAACAGAAAAGATACCTGTCCACTAAAACCAAATCATCTCTCAGCAGGGCACACTTTGACTTGGGCCAAAAGACATGGACCAGACAGCCAGCCTTCAAATCTTTATCCATGTGAAGTGCGTGAGCCAGCTGATTGACTGTCTAGAGAGAGCATTAAAGAGAAGACAGACATGAATATGTACCTCAAACAAGTCTGTAAACCAGTCTAATTCAGTTCTCAAGCAAACTTGGACAGGATCTATCTTGAAGAGGGTAACAGAGTTCATACTTTGTTCTGGTGAATAGCTGTGATTTTTTTTAAGCTCTTCAACTCACCAGCATCTAAAGAACAAGTTGTGCTTTGAAACTCAGACAAGAGTTTCTTTTGAGCCACCAATGTTCCCTACAGGGCTACTGAGCGTCATCATGAATTTGCTTCAGAGGTTTAACATATCAGCATAAGCAGTTCAATAAGATGAGCACCATAAGCCCAAATGAAGGACACATTCCAAACCCTTAATCAGTAATAGGACTTACTTAGTCCTATAAGAATAAATCACTCAACACGTGCTATGCTACAATGAGACACACATTAGTTGTTTCTCTAGAACAGCCAAGAAAAACTGAGGAGCAGAGCACTTTAATTAGTTTGTTCTTCCCTCCTAAATAAGAACTTAAAAATCCAGAATGAGTGAGCCTTATACTTTTGTTGAATCTGAAACTGTTAAAAGAGACACTTTAAGAATCAGTTCCTGTGAAAATTAGCATGAAATCATCCAAGAAATGTACCTTGACACTCTTCTTTTCATCTGATCCTTCTGTCATAAGATAAGCCTTATCTCCATCAGTCCCTTCCACACTGAGGAAGCAGTTTGTTGTATGGCCAATTCCACTGGGAAGTACCTTATCCCACAGCATTGCATTAATGACTGAACTTTTCCCACTGCTTGTTCTAGAGGGATAGAAAAGAAAAGCACTTTGAGCAGAGCACAGCAGAATTAAGCACACCTTTGTGCTGAACTAAGTGCACCCCCATTGGAATGCATCAGCCCCACAGAGCACAAGCAGGTTGGGGTACAGAGTTCCAGCCAGCAGGAAGTGGGGAGTGTTCATTTAGAGGAACTGGTCACCAGCTACACCTTCTGCAAAAACTTAAAGCCTTCACTGGTGTCCTACTTTGCACTAACCCTCTACCCCTCACCTATAAATATTTGAGGTTCAACTATTACACAACAGCAATAAGTTACATAGACTGTAACTCGTTTTTGAGCGACTTCCAGAAAAAGTTAAGTGCTCACTGTACAATAGTTCACAAATTTATTCAAAATGGCAGAGGGAGAGTTAAGTTCTCTTTTTTCTGCTCAGAACTTTTCCTCTTTGCAAAAGGGAAACTTTTATCACACATCACAGCATGTATTCAGCTTTTAACTTCTTGAAATGTCGAGGCTGAGATGTAATTAATTTCTTTATTCCAGAACTTTTTATAGTTTTTCTTTAAATAACTAAACTACTTTTAGCAAAATGAAGGCAAGACCACCGTTGTACACATTTTTTCCAATACTACTACAGAATTTTTAGAATCATGAAAATTCACACGCCAAAAAATATGTAAACACATGTTTAAATATAAGCCCAGAAAAATCAATCTCCCTGAAGCAAAGTGGACTAGCAGACCAAATTGTTACAGCTATCCTTAAAATCATCACACAGATCTATCAGACTGATGTTACAACCAACCAGGGAACCACTTCTGCTTCTCTTCAGCTGCTTATAGACAGAATCATGAACAGCTCCAAGTTTAGCTCTTCAGCACTTCTGATCAAATACAAAAAAAATGTCCTCAGCAGGAACAGTCCAGAACAAAATATACATATATATATATACATATATATATATATATATATATATATATATATATATATATATATATATATATAT